GTCTACACAGTGTGCAATTTTGAAATAACTCACTATTCCCAAATTCCCCTTAAGGTTACGGGGATGTCAGAATACGCTGCCTGTTATTTTGAAATAATGGGCTACTTCAATAGATGCAGAATAGCTATTTCAGGATACTTTCGGGACCCCAAAATAGTTCCACAGGGTAGACGAATCCTCATTGCGAAGGGTGCTGCTGTTTGGAAACACACCAATTTTTCAATCAGGGCTCCAGGGAACTGAGGCAGACCCTTCAATCATCCTGCAAATTTGCTTTCTGGCCACCCAGCTCTGTAGGCAGCGCTGCTGCCAGCAGCAGTGCAGAAGTAAGGGTGGCACAGCCTGGACCTATGGTATTGCTGCTGCTTTACTTCTGTGCTGCTGCTGGCAGCAACGCTGCCTTCAGAGTTAGGTACCTGGCCATGGCATGTCTGATAGCCACCATGAGCCCCAGGGCTAGGTGTGGGGAGAGGGGCTGCTCTGCTCCCCAGAAGGGGTGGGGCCAAGGGCAGTCAGTCCTTAGCACTACTTAGACTGTGACATGCTCCCCATCCCTCAGAGCCAAGTGCACCCTAGGGCAATTGCTGAATTGCCTCCTGTCTTCAGGCCTGCCCGCCAGCAGCTGCTGCTCTTGCAGTCCCCCCCACCAGAATACCCCTGTGAAGCTCTTTCGGGTCAGGACCCGCCCGTCTGAGAACCGCTGCCGTAGATAATGCTCTACTGTTTCGCTTTGTCCTGTCTGCAATGTCCCAAGCAATGGTGGTCACACTGCTTCCTTGAGGAGGCTCTTCTGCACCCTGCCAGAGCTCACGGCCAAGAAAGTTTAACTAATTTTTCCAGCCTAGTTTTTCACTCCTTAATTTCAAGCCTGCCATGAACTGAGCCTCCCGGGAAGGGGGAAAATGTGAAGCAGGGAAACCCACCCGTTGGGGAGAGGGAGAAAGGGAAAAGCAGGTGCAGCAGCCATGAAGGGGAAGGGAAATGAGGGGTGAGACAAAGCATCAATAAATAAATTGCCCTAACTGGGCAGCTGAGGCCTCCCTGGGTGGAGTAAAGCAGGAGTAGCCTCCCCCAGGTGTGGCAGCAGCATGCTCAGCAGGATGGCCCGGAGCATTTCTTCCTATTGGATGTAGAGCTCCCCAAGCCAGCTCACGGCAGCCTCCTCAGCAAAGAGCAGCGCCCACAGACCACCCTGGCCGGAGGCAGTGGTCAGTGATGTGAGACATGGGGATGTCTCATTGGGTGGTCGCGTTGGCCCCAGATGCACAGGCTAGCTGCACCTGGATCCGGGCCTGTCTGAGAAGGGACCCATGGTCAGCATGGCAAATGACAGGCAAGTCCACGCAGGGTCGGGTCAGTTATAAGTCTCTGAGGTCAGCTGCTGGCCATTCTTCATCCCACATCAACGCTACAGCGAAATCTGGGTACGGCAAGTGGGACAGGTACTCACGGGTTCCTGTGCGGTCAAAGAACCCTGCATACAGGGGTAGGCTTGGTTCACCTGGATTGTCTCAGCCATTCTGACTGTAGCGTCTTCATGTGTGGAGAAGCGAGGTGACAACTCTTAGGCTACGTCTACACTACGAGTTTTCTCGGCAAAAAATATGCTAATGAGGGACTCATTTGCATGAGTCATGATCTGATTTGCATATTTTCTGCTGATACGTTTTTGCTTAGGGTTTTTTTACGCAAAAACAAGCAGTGTGGATGTTTTCTTTTTGTGCAAAAACCCCGTTTCCTGCCAGATACTTACACCCCAAAAAGGGGGTTTACTGATCTGGCGGGAAACAGGGGTTTTGCACAAAAAGAAAACATCCACACTGCTTGTTTTTGCGCCAAAACCCCAGTGCAAAAATGGATCAGCAGAAAATATGCAAATCAAATTGCGACTCATGCAAATGAGTCCGTCATTAGCAATTTTTTTTGCTGAGAAAACTCGTGGTGTAGACAGAGCCAGTGAGACATAGTGCAGGCGTAGGTCAAGTTGTCCCCCTTATGATTCACATGGTTGAATCTAGTTGTGTGTCAACCAAGCTGACATGAGATGAGTGAAGCCAGACCTGAGCCCAGTGTTTTGTAGCAGAATAACAGAGGGGCTAACCCAGAAGACTGGGGAGTTGGAGCATTTGCTTCCCACAAAGTACCAGCCAATTTGCCTGGAAGATTGTTACGAGTCCCTCACCTTAGCTGCAGTTTTCTTCCGGTGGCTAAGACAGGTGACAAGTCCATGCAGGGCTACTCCAGGGCAGATTGGAGCGGCTTGTCTTCCAAGCAATGTCCAGTGACACAAACAGTAAAGATGGAACACACCCAAACTGCCTTGGTCACAGCAGATGCCCCTGACTACAGGATTTGGCCACCTTAGTCAAGTCAGCATGTAGGGTGTGTTCAACTTCTGGGAACGTCAGTGTTTGGATGCCTAAGCAAACATCATCCATGTATGTGAATCTGAAGGCCTGGATATGTGAAAGGTCATCTGTGTACAGGCGAAAAGTGTCAGTGCCAGCACAGAGACCTGGGATACAGATCATTGGGTTGTCTTTTCCAAGTGCTAACTCTGTCTCCCCGGGGCACTCTGTGGTGGAGGAGAAGGTGAATGATGTTGACTACCTATGATAGAGTGGGAATTTTTCAGAAGATGGTGTGTGCCTCAGTTTCCCTTCTGTGGTGCATGATTAACCAGTTGGTGACACAAGGCTGGGGTGCTAGGGCGGATGGCAGGGCTGCCAAGGAGCGGGATAGGGATGGGGTGCAGGATCTGGGAGGGAGGTGGGGGGTGGAAGAGGGCAAGGTCTGGGTGGTAGGTAGGGTGCAGAAGCAGGCTGGATGTAGGGTGTCTGGCCAGGTAGAGGGAGCAGGAGCAGACTGGGGGTAGAGTGTCTAGCTACGATGGAGGGTGCAAGGAGGGGACTTGGGTAGGAGTTGGACCTCCCTGATCTGGCACCTTCTGGACCTAACTGGTCCCGGATGAGGGATTTTTGGACCAGGGGAGGTCATTTCAGGGCTCCTGGTTCCCCCCTATCCCCCCCCCCCACTAGGCTTCTTTGCACCTCTATCCTCTGCAACCCAACTGAGCTGCCCACCCCTGCTGGTTCCCTGCACCTCCCCCAAAACCATCCCCCACAATCCAAGGGAGCGCAGCACCAGTTCCCTGCAGCCCCTCACAGCCCAGCTGAGCTGTTCAGTACACCCTCCCCCATTCACCTCAGCCCAGCTGAGCCCTGCACTGGTTCCCCGCATGTCTCCCCCATCTCTGCTAGCATCTGCCTGGGTGCGTCTCTGTGCATCTGTAACCCCCACGCCTCCTGTGCTGGGTGTGGGTCAGGGAGGTGACTCACAGAGAGGATAAGGAGTTAGCTCCAGGGCATGAGCTGAGCTTCCAGCCCATGGGCACCTGCCCCGCCCCTGCCCCTGCCCCGCCAGCAGTGGCGCTCTCCAGCCAGGGACCCAAGGCGCCGCCAGGCAGACAGCTGGGGC